AGAAACGTGGAATTTAAATCTAGTTACGCCTGCACCTCCGTTCCTGCGCTTCCCACCGGGAACCCCACACGGATCCCGGTCGGCAGCAAACTCCTTGCTCTTCCCCCTTTGTGAGCCTTCTGCTTGCCACCCTTGATCTGGACAAGTACTTTCAAGCATTCTTTTCATTTGCTAAAATATATTTTTGGCAGGATGTGCTGGTGTTCCAAGCATCAGCCGTGACTCCCGAGAGTCCATCTGCATTTCTGTGAGACCTGCTCACTGCCCCAGAATTATCTGGCTCCAATGAGGGGTCGTCCTCGGTCCACAGCACCACCGAGTGCCGAGTGGGGCTCCGTGAGCACCCAGCCGAGCCGTGGAGACAGCAGGTTCTGCCAAGTCAGGTGTGTAAGAAACACCACACTCCTTCCTCTTCTCTAGATCACATCACATTCTCAAGCCTTCTACCCCCAAACTGTTTCAAGAGATAGAAAACCTGTACAGACCAAAACCTGTAGAGACCTGAAACGAAGGTCAAAGATCTACCCCTTCTTGGACAGGACCAGCCACCACTGAGCAGATCATGTCCCTGTAGCAGAAGCCCTGCAGAAGCTTGGGAGAGAAGCCGGGGCACTGCCCAGCTCGGGAGCTGGTAAAACCAGGCAAGGACAGTATCTAAAACAAGCCACGGACCAGTTTCACGAAAAACATAAACACCCTAAATTACTGATGTAAATCCAGCAGTTGAGAAAATAAAAATTATGATCAAGTCAGGTTTGCTCTAGAAACATGAGTAAGGCTCCGGAGCAAAAAACCCACCAACAGAAATCACTACCTTAGTAGATCAAAGCGGGGGAAAGAACCATTTATCAACAGATGCTGAAAAAGCACTTGACAGGAACCCCGTCCCACACATGATCATAGACAATTTTCAGCAAACTAGAAATAGAAGAAACGGCAGGTGAAGATCACCCAAAGAAGGCAACCTACCAGACATCTTCATGTCTCATAGTGAGATGCTCGAAGCCTCTTCTGTCAAGTCCGTGTTTCCTCCCGGCACTTTGCTCCTGCCCGGTGGCGTCTGTCTTCAGGGGGAGCCCTGCCCTCGGTTGTGGGATGTCCTGGCACGTTGTCCCCTAGTTCACTCCATCCAGGCGGTTTTCAGGTCTGCACCCAGTCAGAGCTGCTCACCCCGCCCCAGACGGTGGTGTCCAGAGCAGTCTGGCATCTTTAGCGGGAAGACAGGAAGGACAGCATTGGTTGTTTTTCAAAAATGGCTCCCTACTGTCTTCGTCTAGTACTCCAGGGGAGCACCTGACCATGGGCGCAAACCAGGGTAGTTCACCCCAAGTTTATAAAGGCAGAACCTTGGAAATAACTGACATGTGCCTGACTTGTTTTTATAAACAGCTAAATAAAATCTAGAAACCTTCCCCTAATGGCTAAGTAGCAGTTAAACTGAGTTGAGGTAGGACGGCATTTCTTGACTGAGAAAGATCTTTCACGTATAATGTTGAGGAGCACGTGGGTGGCTCAGTCAGTTGAGCGTCTGACCTCAGCCCAGGTCATGATCTCACAGTTCGTGGGTTCAAACCCTGCGTCAGCACGGAGCCTGCTTGGATCCTCTATCACCCTCTCTCTCCCTGTCCCTCCCCTGCTTGCACTCTCTCTTGCTCTCCCTCAAAAACAAACATGAGGGCGCCTGGGTGGCGCAGTCGGTTAAGCGTCCGACTTCAACCAGGTCACGATCCCACGGTCCGTGAGTTCGAGCCCTGCGTCGGGCTCTGGGCTGATGGCTCAGAGCCTGGAGCCTGTTTCCGATTCTGCGTCTCCCTCTCTCTCTGCCCCTCGCCCGTTCATGCTCTGTCTCTCTCTGTCCCAAAAATAAATAAACGTTGAAAAAAAAAATTAAAAAAAAAAAACATGAAAGAAAAAAGACATAATGTTGAGTTAGAAAAGTAACTTGCAAAATGGTAGACATGGGATGATACATTTGGCAAAAACAATACGCGATTGGTCCTCTGCGGAGAGCACACGTCGGTGAAATGTCTGGTGGTGCACACCACCCTGACCACGCCAGGCTCTGGTAGTCTTCACGTGAATATAAAAAAAACCTAGTTGTAGCTTATATGTCTAATAAGGGGGAAAAATTAACCATCTTCTACTGACATGATACCTGGAAGGGCACGAGGCAGGCAGGCGCTGAGCACTGAGGTTTCATGCCGGCCAGGCAGAAGGGCCCCTCGGGTGCCCCGTCCACAGACCCCGCCAGCGAGCGCTGCAGCCGGGCACACGTCTGTCTACATGGCAAACGTGGGGATGCACGGGGCAGAGCAGGAGCGGGGGGGGAGGGGCAAGGCCAGGGCAGGCATCCGGGCCCCCCGTGCAGCTGGCGGCTTTCCTTCTGAGGTGCCTCCCCCCCACCAGGTGCGGCAGTGGGTGGGCTACTGCCCCCAGTTTGACACCCTGCTCAACCACATGACGGGCTGGGAGACGCTGGTCATGTACGCCCGGATCCGGGGCATCCCCGAGCGCCACATCGGCACCTGCGTGGAACAAATTCTTGAGGAGTTACTCATGTACGCCTACACTGACAAACTGGTGAAGACCTACAGGTGAGACCTGGGGCTCCCTCGGTCCCGCCACCTCCACCGGCGAGACGTGCCCGGCTCTCCTCCGTGCAGGGCCAGGGCCATCAGCTCAGGGCAGTCCCTGCCACTGTGTGGATTTGTGGGAGGCGTAAGAATGGACCATGGCCCGGGCTGCCCTGAGGCACCGTTTCCTCTTGGCCCCCTAGCAGGTGGGTGGCTGAGCACAAGCAGATGGCACCTGCCACTTTGCAGACGGCTTCTGATTTTTGGCAGCCTCCCGTTTCACACATGACCTTATCTTGCTGCGTCTGAGGCATCTGAACTGCGCACGTTTTGCTGACAAGCCTCAGTCTTCCGCTGCCACCCATACTCAGCAACTCGCTTGGCTTAGCGCGCCAAGCAGGGCCACGCCCCCTCCCCTCCGACCCAGGACCCGCTGAGGTTGTGTGCAGCGCCCCCTGGCGGTTCGCGGCAGTATTCCCCCCCACCCCACCCCGCGCCAGGGGCTGGGAAATCAGACTTGCCCAGGGGTCAGGTGACTGTCATCTTTGGCTCATCCCTCTCTGATGTTGATTTCAAGCAGCTTTTTGTACTTCCTTGTATTTTTGGTAGATTAAATGAGTCAACATTTGCAAAGTTTAAAACAGCCCTTTGCGCACTGTAAATGCTATGTGTTCACTTAAAAAAAAATTACTAAAATGGCCCTCTGCCCTTACTCCCCGAACACTGCAGAGACCCTCAAAGAAGACTCATCAAGCATGTGCTCACCATGTGTCCACGTGTCCCTGTGCCCAGGGCAATGGCTTATACACTGAATGGACAGCCAAGTCACAATGCAAACTCACGGGAGGGTGGGGGACTAGGGGACCACACTACTAACGCTCCATTAGAGGCTGGGGAGTACTTTCTGAACTGAAAGGAAAATGCATGCATGTGCGTGTGCCCGCATGCGTGTGTGTGTGTGTGTGCGCCCACGCATGGGGAGTGTTGGGCTACCCCTGACTGATGTTTGCCTTTCACCCCAACCTTTCCCCACTTTGCCCCCAGTGGTGGCAACAAACGAAAGTTGAGCACTGGCGTCGCCCTAATTGGAGAGCCTTCAGTCATCTTGCTGGACGAGCCATCCACTGGCATGGACCCCGTGGCCCGGCGCCTGCTCTGGGGCACAGTGGCACAAGCCCGCAAGTCTGGCAAGGCCATTGTTCTCACCACCCACAGGTAGAGCCGGGGTCTCTAGAGGTCGATGGAAGAGCTAGGACAAGAGCTGGCTGGGAGGGGCTAGGTGGACAGAAGACCTGCCAGAAGCTGATTCAGAGTCGATGAGGAAAGTCCCCAGGCTTAACCATGTGGGCCACCCTCCGAACACGGGAATCGGGAACAGCTCGATCTGGCCGACAACGCCGGCCCGCCCGCATGAGCTTTTGACGTGGGAGGCAGGCATCGGCGCCCCCGGCCCCGTGTCAGACCTCTGCCCCTCTCCCCAGCATGGAAGAATGTGAGGCCTTGTGCACCCGGCTGGCCATCATGGTGCAGGGCCAGTTCAAGTGCCTGGGCAGCCCACAGCACCTCAAGAGCAAGTTTGGCAGCGGCTACTCCCTGCGGGCCAAGGTCCGGAGCGAAGGGCGGCAGGAGGCCCTGGAGGAGTTCAAGGCGTTTGTGAACCTGACCTTCCCAGGTGTGTCTCCGTGCCTCCTCCCTGCCGAGGCCCGGGCCCGCGACCCCTGGGAGGAGGGCCGTGATTCCAGGGTCCCGGGAGGCTCTCCCCTGGCCCCCACAGCCCGGCCCTCACGGGGACACGGCGTCTCCTTCGTGCAGGCAGCGTCCTGGAGGACGAGCACCAAGGGATGGTCCATTACCACCTGCCCGGGGAGGACCTCAGCTGGGCCAAGGTGAGCACATACCTGGGCATCAGAGGGAGCAAACCTCGGGCGTCACGGGCTTTCTGGGGTGACCTGTTCTCCCTCTTGCATGTAAGTTGCATTCAAAGCTGCCGCAGGTTCTCTCCGTCTCCAGGGCAACATTCACGTGTGTTTCATAGAACATAGGATGTGGGAGCTAGAAGAGACCTCAGAGATCGGCTCCTCCTGCCCCTCCCTTCACAGAGAGGGGAGCAGGGCCCGAGAGGGGATGCCACGTGCCCCGGGCCACAGCAAGCCAGAGATCCAATCAGGGCCTCTGCCTTCTGGCACTGTCCCCAGCCAGGGACCCTTCCCTGAGATCTCAGGCAGCTGGACTCCCTAGGACTCACTTCTGGGGAGGTGCTCTGGGGGTAGCTGAAAAAGCGATGGGCCTTTTGGGGGCCTTATCCCACCCCGAGAGATACTCCCTCTTTCCACCCTCTGTTGCCTCCTCCCCTCCCTTGTGCCCCTCAGCCACGGCGGCCTCCCTCCTTCCCACAGGTGTTTGACATTCTGGAGCAAGCCAAGAGGAAATTCATGCTGGACGACTATTCTGTCAACCAAGTCTCCCTGGAGGATATTTTCCTGAGCTTCACCTGCCCTATGCCCCCTACCCAAGAGGGAAAGAAACCAGAGCAAGCAAAGCCAGCTCCACCCCCCTCCCAGCCTCCCTCCCAGCCTCCCTCCCCACTTCCCTCAGAACCTGCCTTGCTGTAATAAAGAGTGTGCAGCCTGCCATGGGCTGCAAGGGGTACAAAGATAGCTTGTACACCCAGTGAGCTCAGTGCGGGGCCGAGGGTTGGGGGTGGCTCTAGACCAGGTTGGGGCCTCTCACCTTGGAGGCCTGGTGGACGGCCCGGGTGCGTTGCCGTGGGAAAAGATCCCCTTGAGTCCCGCCTGAGTGGCCCGAGGCCTCACTGAGACCTGGCTTGTGCAAGCAGCCTCAGGTGACCCCCTGCCATGTCTTCTCAAGGCTCAGTGGCCTGGGGGTGACCACGGTTGTCATGACACTGCACCTTCTGCAGGTAAGAGAACAGGTTGAGGAGTTTGCCAACCTAACAATTTTCCTTTATTTCGATACTTGGGTTTGTGCAGCTCCATCTGTACTCCGTCCCGGTCCCTACAAATATTAGGGGTAAGCCCGCATGTGATCCTGCCATCAGCCCATGAAGTGTTACTCGGATGAGTAACCTGGAACTTAGGGTCAACTTTCCAGAGTCAACCTGTAGTAGGCCAAGATTCAGTTCAGGGAGAGGTTCTCAAAGGGGAGGGCTCCTAAGCAGCAGCTTCTAAATCGTTCAGAAACTTGTTAGAAATTCAGATCCTTGAGCCCCACCCCGGACCTGGCAAACCGGAAATCTGTGGGGTGAGCCCCAGCAAGCCGTGTTGTAAGCGGCCCGTGTTCACCAGTGCTGATGCATCTCGCGTGTGAGAACCACAAAGCTAAGGCCTGTGTGCTCCAGGCCACTATGCCCTCAAGCCAAGAGCACGGACACATGTGGCTCCGCCCTTTGTCACCAGGACTCTGCTCTGAGACACGCCCATCTTGTAGCCTTTCTCTCTCCAGCATGGTCACACCTGTCCCTTCTGGAAAGCCCCCTCAGCTCCTCCTTTGCAAGTAGTTCCCTCCCTGCTTTCTCAGCCAGGCCGAGGGGAAAAGTGGGGAAAGTGGTGCGGTCCCCGACCACACTTGCCACACTTCCCACCTCCCATCACCACTCACCCCAAATTACAGCACCGGCACATCCCTGGCTGCCACACCCACTGATTTCTCCATCCTTTCTCCGTGTCACTGCTATGTGATCTTTCATGGTATTCCCTGCCCCCCCCCC